CTCATGCTGATGGAAAAAAAAAAACCCTCAGAGACAGCTTGCCTTCCTAGTTCACAGGCACAAGACGCCAACTCCAGCTGACAAAATAGAATGCTCTTGTTCCGAGGAGGATTGTCTCTTTTAATAGCCTGGCTCTTGCCTCAGGATCTTTATTACCAAGAATAAACGGTATGAAAGGTTGCCATACTATATAGCAGACCTCCAGCTGCTCTTCTAAGAAAACATCAATGAGACTTTGCGATAAGGGAGATTAACTTGGCTATCACATCCAGGGGCAGACTTGGGTAGACAAGTGACTTTCTCACCCACTTCGGCCCAACATGAAAAACAGGAAGAAAGGAGGCTTACATGCTGCATTAACTATTCTTTCAAAATGATTTAACATAGGCTTAGCTTATTACTTCCAAAGGAAGTAAGACAAACATGAAATAGATTAAAATTTTAGTTTCTATGTCAGCCTAAAAAATAACCCAAGCTACTTTTCTGGGAAGGAGAGCTTCTCTATCTGTCTCAAACCAGTACTGACAGTAGGCCTGACAGTTTCCAACTGAGATGAACTAACCACAGTATCTATCACAACCACGGAAGTAAGACAGCCTGCTCACAAAGATGAGCGTGAAATAGCATAGTTCTTAACCGTGTAAGTACCACAATTCACCATGGCACATGGGAAGCTATACCACCTAAGAAGTGCTCGTTAGAAAAGGTTTTATGTCCTACTCTGGTTTGTTTTTGTTTATCTTATTATTTTTAGGAAACTGGTTTTTTTTTTTTTTTTTTTTTTTTTGTGTGTGTGTGTGTGTGTGTGTGTGTGTGTGTGTGTGTGTGTGTGTGTGTTTCCCCCAAGACCAGGTTTCTCTGTGCAGCTTTGGCTGTCCTGGAACTTTTTGTAAACCAGGCTGACCTTGAACTCACAGATATCAGCCTGCCTCTGCTTCCTGAGTGCTAGGATTAAGGTGTGTGCCACCATCACCCAGACAGATAACTGTATTCTAATGACAAAGAAAGGGTGTGGATTTGAGTGGCTGGGAGGATATGGGAGAAGTTGAAGGAGGGGGAAATTGTAATCAGAATATACTTTATGAAAATCTATTTTCAATAAAAAAATAATAATAATTTTTACCGGGCGTTGGTGGCGCACGCCTTTAATCCCAGCACTCGGGAGGCAGAGGCAGGTGGATCTCTGTGAGTTCAAGACCAGCCTGGTCTCCATAGTGAGTGCCAGGAAAGGCTCCAAAGCCACAGAGAAACACTGTCTCGAAAAACCAAAAAAAAAAAAATAATAATAATAATAATAATAATAATAGTTTTTAAAAAGGCTTTATGAAGATCTATAACTTTGCAGCAATAAAGCAATGCACTATGCTTAAATGTTGCCTCCCAATGTTTTACATGTTTATGAAATTTCCATAAAATGATCTGCAAGAAACCACATTATAATTCTTTAAATCATTTAAAGGAAATCCAAGGTGTGGGCTATCATATTTTTTTAAATAAACAATAATTAGCTTTCACTAGCAGATAACTATGTTTTGTGTCGCAACACTTAGAATAGTTACACAGTGTGAATTATTAGAGCTTATGCTCCCAAGATTCTGCAAAGAAAGGTTGGGAGGCTGCTAGGGAGATGATATTCACTGCATGATGTTAGGACACCTGGTTTACACACTAAGGAACAAATGCCCAGAGAGTTTACAATATTTATCTGTTCTAGTTAAGGAGGTAGTAATTGACAGGGCTGTAACTAAGTATGAATAATAATTAAAAAAAAAATCAGTGCTCTATAATTGCTAGTTGTCCCAAAACCCATGTAAACATGTCCATGAGACTAGTACAGGTAGATAAACAACCAACACCAGTATTTTGAAGGAAAGCAGCCAAGCTATAGATTCTGGCCAGTGTAGGCCCAAGAAACTGCCATTCTAGATGTGGTAAGAGGGGAACTGAGTTATCTGACTCAACAGCTCCTGAGGTCAACTCTTTCTTAATCCATTGAAAACTATTAAACAGGGCCTGCTGGATGGCTCAGGTGGTAAAGGTGCCATCAAACCTGGCATGAGTTCCACCCTTGAAAACCATGGATGAAGTAAAGAGCTGACTCCCAAAAGCTGTCCTTCAACCACATGTGTTATGGCACACACACATACATACATACAATAGCCAATGAAAGATTTTAAAGAAAGATCATTTCTATTAATGGAATCTCTTTATAAATCATATGAAGCCACCATATGAAGGTTGTTTTAGCACACTACTTTTCTACAAAGTTCTACCCCTGTTTTCTGAGGTTAGTCATGTCTCTGAGACTAAGGAAACCTTAAATTTCTGAACCATTCCCACAAATTCTTCACCATCTAAGAGGAAGATACATTAAACATTTCACTGGTCTGCAGCCTCATTTTTTGGACTACTGGATGAATTGGTTTCACACTCTGCAAGGATAAAGCACAATGGCAATGTGAGCTTTTCACTCATCGCATAAACAGAATTTGTTTGCCGAAACAAGGGTTCTCTGAATAGCCTTGGCTGCACTGAAACTCACTCTGTAGACCAGGCTGGCCTCATACTCAGAGATCCGATGCCTCTGTCTCCCAAGTGCTGGAATTAACGGGCTGGGCCACCGCCACCACCCAGCTGTTTTTCGTTTGATTTAATATAGAGAATTTTTTGTTTTTTAAATTTAATGTTTCGGGCTGGAGAGATGGCTCAGAGGTTAAGAGCACCGACTACTCTTCCAGAGGTCCTGAGTTCAATTCCCAGCAACCACATGGTGGTTCACAACCATCTGTTATGAGATCTGGTACCCTCTTCTGGTGTGAAGATATACATGGCAGCAGAATGTTGTATACATATTAAATAAACAAAATCCCAAAAATAAATAAATAAATGTAATGTTTCAATGTAGTTAGCAAACTCATTTCATCCTATCACTAAAAATGGTTCTATCTCCAACAGACTGAACTGCTAATACTATAGAATTCCTTGGTCCTGTTATTTAGAAATTTTACTTTAAATCTTATTGCATATGGTGGCACACACCTTCAATCCTAGGACACAGGAGACTAAAGAAAATGTTCAAGAGTTCAAGGACAGTCTGTTACACAGTGAATTCTAAACTAGCCAGTAACACAGCAAGACTCTGACTCAAGAACTGTATGTGTGAGGCAAGGGGGAGGACGGGACGGGACAGGGTATGTATGTGTGGTGGTGTCTGCTATGACTACTTCAAGAATACCAAGGATATTAAATTTATCCAAACGTATGTACTGTGAATATTGCAAAATGTTCCCTAACTTCACTGTCTGGTCTAGCACTTGCAGAACACAGCTATTTCAGTAGCTCAAACAAGTCTAACTATCAAGTTGCCATGAACTACTTTTTGTGCTATACCAAATCTACCCAAGGGGAAAGAAGAAAACAAAACTCAGTTCCCATCAAATGCTCATTCCTAAGAAAGGCAGGACAGAACGATTTACCTGTATGCATTCTCCTATTGTTGAGAGACAAGCAGAAGGGCAAGGGCAAGCTGCAGAACCCTGCACTAAAGCCCCAGCTAGAAGAACCAACAAACTAACCCAGGGAGCATTAGCCACAGTCTCAATGCCACAGTTCCAGTCTAATCCTGTCCACTGCAACAAGCCAGACCTTCAAAATGCAACAAGATGCCCCAAAGCAAAATCTAAAAGGGGAGCAGTAACTCAACTCAGGGCATCTAGGGTAGTGACCACCAGGCTGCACACACAATCATTACCAAGGGAACAGTGTCAAGTCTATGCAAGTGATGTGATCGTCATTCTAAAACTGTTCTAACACGCCGGGCATTGGTGGTGCACTCCTTTAATCCCAGCACTTGGGAGGCAGAGGCAGGTGGATCTCTGTGAGTTCGAGACCAGCCTGGTCTCCATAGTGAGTGCCAGGAAAGGCTCCAAAGCTACACAAAGAAACCCTGTCACGAACCCCCCCCCCCAAAAAAAAAGAAAAGAAAAGAAACTATTCTAATACTAGCACAGATCTACACCAGAAACATGAATAGCCTATACAAGAGGCTGGCGTGCAGCTAGGTGCAAGGGTCTGGGTTCGGCTCCCACCATGACAAATAAATAAGTGCCATACTTTGTATGGAAGGGCCCACAAAGAATTGTATAACCTCACACAGATAGCTCTCAAGTAATTCAAGATAATAAACTGTGATAGTTAAAAAAAATTACCAAGAATATTTAAAGATTTGATACTTAAGAACCAGAATCACCAGGCACTATCTACTTCAGTTCTATAGGGACCATTCTAAGGATAAGAGCTGGTCTGTAATACCAACTCCTGTTTCTCCAGTCTCTGGCAATATTACTACAACCAGACATTCCCTAAATGTTGACAGGGTGGGGAAATCATGCTCCTTGAAGTAATTTGATGAAGAACAATGTCCTGACATCTGCTCACCTGACAGAACCATCTAGTCATGATGTAGTTAATGATTTTTATTATGCCAAATACCTTTTTTATTTAACTCAACCATTTCTATAATCATTGGTAATACCAATGCTTATTAAAACTGAGAGTGGGGGAAATGTTCAATAGAAATGATTAAGAGTTATGAAAAACAAAGTGTGGTGACACATGCCTTTAATCCCAGAACTCAGGAGATAGAGGGAGAAAGGAAGATCTCTGAATTCCCGGCTAGCCAGGGCTACATACTATAAGCCCAAGTCTCCACACCCACAGAAAAAAGAATACCACGGTATATTAACTCATCATGTTTTACAATCAATTAAAATGATTACAAGCACAGTGGCAACACAGAAAAACATAGACTCAAATGAAATGGCTAAATACACTATCTGTATTACACACACATATTTAAAGATCAGAAGAAACGTTTGAACAAAGAAAACTGCTTGGCACATTAGTTTGCATGCCTTTTTTTTATAATATAATACCAGAATAGTATTTTGTGAAAGGCAAAATGAAAATTATTTATAGATACAAGCAATTAGCATACTTACCACAGTGGGATTGCCACTGCTTATCAATTGGCCGACTTCATGAAAAATGCTTTTGCAGTCAATTGACTTATCTAGTGATCCTCTTTTCACAATTACTGCTACTGCTAACAGAATCTGTTCCCGAACATACTTTTGGAGGCTGCAAAACATAAAAATTATAAAAACATTTATCTATATCTACTATAAACACTCACCAAGTTTCTCACTATACCAGAAACTACTAACAATGCCACCTACACCTGAGAGCAGCATAATCTACTAAGTTATGTAGAGACTTACAGACCTGCTTAGCTCTGTTACTTACTGGCTGTGTCACCCTGGGAAACCCAGCATACAGTCTTGGTTTTCTCTTCTTCAAAATGGAGATAGTCAGGAGTGTTGTAAAAACTAATGTTCCACCCTAATCTAAGCTACACAGTCAATTTCAGGATTGTGCTATTCCTCAAGACCCTGTTTCAAAAAGGCAAAAAAAAAAAAAAAAAAAAAAAACCCACCAAGCATGTTCTGCCCTAGGATTGTGTCCACTATACATATTCTAGATGCTTTAGGCAGTGTCCAATACATGCTGAGTCAGTTCTTGTTGAATACATAAGGTGGGGTATTACTAAGATAATTCTGACTTGATATTCATCTCCCACTAGCAGTATCTCAATCCTTATCGTTTAATGAGAAAAGGCAAATCCCAGCTCTCCAAGGGTCCTATCTAAGATAGTTGTCACCTGAGTAACAGTAGAAACACCCATTCTAGCCAAGGCATCCTGTAAAGCCTATTGACCACAAGGGCACAGAGACATAGATGCCTTTTCGGGAACCCCTTCTTAAAGGTCAGGCTACAAAAACACCGACCTTATAATATAACCTCTCAAATGTCATAAAGATGTGTCCTTGTACCCTTAGGACAAGTCACTCCCTTACCATGGCCAACAAGACCAATCCCAGCTTTCCCAGAAGAATCCTTATGCCCTGTTGTCCCAAGTAATTATTAATAATGCTTACTTTTACTTTGGACACCTTTGAAACTAAAGTTATACATACAGTAATGAGCTTTTAAAATCTGTTGACAACCAGCTGGGCGTTGGTGGCGCACACCTTTAATCCAGCACTCGGGAGGCAGAGGCAGGTGGATCTCTGTGAGTTCGAGGCCAGCCTGGTCTCCAGAGCGAGTGCCAGGACAGCCTCCAAAGCCACAGAGAAACCCTGTCTCAGGAAAAAAAAAAAAAAAAAAAAAAAAAAAACTGTGACAACCAAGTATCTGCTGTGCTCTCTGACCTCACACTCCTTCCATATACTCAGTATGGCAGGCATATGGAACTCCTCAGTTTCTGGCTCCACACTCTTAATACTTGCAGGCCTGTGAAAGTCTATTCTCTCTGCCAAAACTCTGATGTCACTTTCTCCAGAAAGTTATTACTAAAGGCTCCCAAGGTGCCAGCATGTGACATGACTATCTGTTACTACTAAACTCTATCCTGAAGACCAACCACCCTACTCTAAAAATATTAGTGTATGTAAAACTCAAGATTTGCCATATAGAAGGCATTTATTAAACATTTATTTTCAAGCATGTGTCCCTACATTAAGACTAAAGTCAAAATATTCTTACAAAATACAGACTTGGACTGGGCGTGGTAGCACATGCCTTTAATACCAGCATTCAGGAGGCAGAAGCTATTGAACATTTGCACGCCAACCTAGTCTACATAGCAAGTTCCAGGCCAGCCAGAACTTCACATGAGACACTGCCTAAAAGAGGGAGAAAAATCTTTACTGGCAAGAATTAGAAAATAGCCGGGCAGTGGTGGCGCATGCCTTTAATCCCAGCACTTGGGAGGCAGAGGCAGGTGGAACTCTGTGAGTTCGAGACCAGCCTGGTCTACAGAGCTAGTTCCAGGACAGCCTCCAAAGCCACAGGGAAACCCTGTCTCGAAAAACCAAAAAAGAATTAGAAAATAATAGAAAATTAAAACATTTACTCAGTTTTATGCGACGGTTTCTTTAATGTTCAAGAAACACTGTTAACTCCAATAATTATCAGAAAGCTAGAAAAAAGATTATAGTCACATTAATCAGGCAAGGTCACAGAGTCATGTAGCAGAATGAGAATACACATTTCTTTCCTGACTATTATGCTACCTGCCTCTTGAAAAGGAGGCATGTTGTATGAAGCTGGATACAAATTTTCCCTCAATGAGGGTATAAGTACAAACCTGTACATGTAGTGGTGAGGACCCACACACAGTCCCTACTGCACTAGATGCAGTGGTGAGGACCCACACACACAGTCCCTACTGCACTAGATGCAGTGGTGAGGACCCACACACACAGTCCCTACTGCACTAGACGCAGTGGTGAGGACGCACACACACAATCCCTACTGCACTAGATGCAGTGGTGAGGATGCACACACACAGTCCCTACTGCACTAGATGCAGTGGTGAGGATGCACACACACAGTCCCTACTGCACTAGATGCAGTGGTGAGGACCCCCACACACAGTCCCTACTGCACTAGATGCAGTGGTGAGGATGCACACACACAGTCCCTACTGCACTAGATGCAGTGGTGAGGATCCGCACACACAGTCCCTACTGCACTAGATGCAGTGGTGAGGATCCGCACACACAGTCCCTACTGCACTAGATGCAGTGGTGAGGATCCGCACACACAGTCCCTACTGCACTAGATGCAGTGGTGAGGATCCGCACACACAGTCCCTACTGCACTAGATGCAGTGGTGAGGATCCGCACACACAGTCCCTACTGCACTAGATGCAGTGGTGAGGATCCGCACACACAGTCCCTACTGCACTAGATGCAGTGGTGAGGATGCACACACACAGTCCCTACTGCACTAGATGCAGTGGTGAGGATCCACACACACAGTCCCTATTGCACTAGACTGCGCCACATAAGCTATCTGCATACTTCTACCTATGTACTACACCAAAATTGCTACTTGACTCTAATCCACACCAACGAATAGACTAGATAAATTAAATTCTATAAAATAAATGAATGTCCATGTCATTAAAAACAAAAAAGGGGCTGAATTACTCTGGCTTCAGAGAGATGTAACAGGAGCTGCAGAGTTGGCTTGGTGGTTTAAGAACATTTGCTCTTGCAAAGGGCTTAGGTTTGGTTCCCAGCACTTACACAGTGGCTCACAACCACCTATAACTCCAACCCTCTTCTGAATTTTTGGGACGCCAGACATGCACATGGTGGGCATACACACATGCAGGAAAATATCCATACACAGCAGCTGGAGAGATGGTTTGGCAGCCAAGAGCACTTCCTGCTCTTCTGAGAACAAGGGTTCAGCTCCCAGCACACACACTTATTGGTGGCTTGCAGTCATCTATCACTCCAGTTCTAGAGGATCGGACACCTTCTTCTGACCTCGACAGGCACAGATATACATGCAAGCAAAAAACCTCATAAAGTAAAATAAATACATCTAATAAAGATTAAAGTACTCATGCTCATACAATAATTTTTAATTAAAAAAGGCATGAGCTGGGCAGCACTCGAGAGGCAGAGGCAGGCAGATTTCTGTGAGGCAGCTTGGTCTACGAGAGCCAGTTCCAGGACAGTCTCCAAAGCCACAGAGAAACACTGTCTTGAACCCCCTCCCCAAAAAGGCATGATAACAGAATATAACATCTAACTTGTAGTTAAATCCTAGACTAAAAGACAGACAACATATTTTACCTAACTACAGAAAGCAAACATCAACAGAGCCAAAGAGACAGACTGCATATTACTAAGAAAAATACCCAACGGTAGGAAGATAAACCTTACATCAGTAAAATAATTGAGCAACTCAGAATATACAACCAGGATGATATTAAGTAATAATATGACAATTAGGTCTAGAATATTGACAGTGTGGTCTCAGGAGACGCACACTCAAGTATTTAAGATGAAAACATGGCAATTTGCTTAAATGTGACAAAATGTTAACTGAATTGCCAGGTGAGGGGGGTAGTTCATGCCTTTAATCCCAGCACTCAGGAGGCAGAGGCAGGCGGATCTCTGTGAGTTCAAGGACATCCAAGGCTACCCAGTGAAACTGTCTTGAAACACACACAAAAAAATGAATATTGAGCTTCTATCAGGATAGGGATTTATATGTGTTCATTGTGCTGTTGTGTCATCTTTCTCGAAAGTTTTAAGAAGTTTTCAAACTAGTATAGGGAGGAGGCAGTGCTTACCCAGCATACACAACATTTTGGGTTCTATCTCCAGACACTATACACACAGCACTAACCCACATAGTGGGGAAAAAAATAAATGAACTATTTCAACACAGAACCTTTTGTAATCAACTCTGACATAGCTTCTAAACTAATCAGAATGATTTAAGAATGGTATTAAGAAAGTACATGTACAATTAGGGAATATCTCTCCCACATTATATCTACCCCAGCTCTACAGAATTCTGATGGAATAGAGTGGGAAAAGGCTGTCAAGGAGGCCAGAAGTTCTACTGTGACACCGACTGCTTAAGAAAACCACTCTGTGACAACAGTTGACTCAAACATATGAAAAGTGTCATTAAATCACCGTTCTATAAAAGTAAAAACAGAACAAAATCCCAGAAAACTAAAGACAATACCTAGACCTAGGAGCAGGGTGTCATAAAACCTGCTCTTCAGACATAGGGTGTAAATAAAGCTACTAGTGGCATACAAATATTTCTTTTCTTTTTTTTTCTTCCAGATTTTAGTGACAGTCTCATATTGTAGGTCAGTCTAGCTTTGAACTTAAAGTATTTCTTCTGCCTTTGCCTTCAAAATGCTGAAATTAGAGGCATGATGTACCACGCCTAGCTTTAAAAAACAACAACCATGCAGTGGTGGGACACACCTTTAATCCCAGGACTGTTGCACAGAGAAATCCTGTCTGGAACCCCCCCCAGAAAAATCAAAATTTATTTCAAATTATTTTCCCACGGTAAAGATCAAAACAACCATCATTTTTTGTAAAATATAGCAAAAATGTGTCAATTCCATACAAGAATAAGCATATATAGTCTTCTAAAAATGTTTAAACATTAAAGAAAATTCATTTTGCCTCATTCCTGAAATCTGATCTTTTTCAAAGTAAAAAAAAAATTAGTGCCTTTTCCAAAAAAAAAAAAAAAAAAAAAAAAAAAAAAATTGGTTTCTCTGTGGCTTTGGAGGCTGTCCTGGAACTAGCTCTTGTAGACCAGGCCGGCTAAAATATTTTCTACACACACACACACACACACACACACACACACACACACACACACACACACACACACGTATCATTTGGCCTTTTGGTGGCTTAATTTCTTCCTCCTCCTCTCTAAGGATGTGCAGCTAGCTACATCTTATAATACTTAGCCCATCTTAAACTTAGCCTATTCCTAAACATATTAAAAGAAATAAAACATCCTAATACATCTAAGAACAAGTGTAAGTTTTGGCAGTCAAAAGTCAAGTTGTATTTATGATCAAATTCTTCAAAACTCAACAATGGTATTTTCTTTAGTATCAGAAACTTAAGTAAAAGTTATGATTTTTATCAAGTATAAAAGCAAGCTGTAATCATGTGTGTGAATTTCCAAGCTATGAGCCCTAGCATAGAGCTTGCCCACAAGCATCACCATTAGCAGTGCCACCCCACGTACTTACTTAGGCCTTTGCAAGACATAGGTGAGGAGGAATGTTCTCAGGGACTCGATGCTGCCTTTCTCCAAGAGAACCCACTCTCGGACAACTGCTTCCATTATGGCTGTGGCAGCTTGAAAAAGGACATAGTCCACTTTACTGGTTTCTGGGAAGAGAATTAAAAGTTCTCTTTAAACAGTAGTTCATATTACCTTGTGTATTTTGCATTTATTAATTTTAAGACAGAACTTTCCAGACAAGGAATAAGATGGTTACCTGTTCTGTTTTTAATCCAGTGACCTTGCTCTAGCACCACAAAGAGGTTAGTTCCTCTCAGAAGACACCTCAGGCAGGTGGCAGCTAATCACCGATCACAATTTTCACAAACTTTCCTCACCTCTCTTCAACTGTTACTTCCAAAGCATGAAGAACTAAAAAATAACACAGCTTTAAAAAGTAAAAATAAAAATATGAAGCAATCAGAAAGTATACTAAGAGATTCTCACCCTGTGCAAAACTGGAACGTTTTATTGGAAAAATACCTTATTAAATTGGTCTTTGAACATTACTATTTGTGATGAGCCATGCTGCCAAAATATTGCAGCTTTTAAGTAAGCCTTCAGCAGGATGACCCACCTCAACAGCAAGTTCAGAATTAAACAACCACATGGAAGTTCTTTGCCTCAAATGGTCAAGCACAATGAGCCCCATTTACACAAGGTGAGAAGTCCTCCTTACTTTTCTGATTGCAGTACTGATCAAACTGAGTAATCCCGAGGCTACACTTAGAAAGACCCACCCTATCTGGCAAAGTCAGAGGAGCTGAGCTAAAACCTGAACCAGGGAAAAAATAGAAAATTAACACACTTAAATACTTCATGTTAATTTTCTATTTTTTCTGTCAGTGTATAGCTACAGTTTTCAAACAGCATTACTAAAAAGGAAAAACAGTCAAAAATTAAGTCAAGAAAAAGCAGAAATTCTCTGAAGGTCTAAAAAAATAACCATGTGAAACTCTTTAAGTCTAAATAGATTCCAGATTATGTACCAAGACCACTGGGTGTAAGTATCTGAAAGTTACAAGAAAGAAACTCTAGGCCTAGAATGGTGCCTTCTAGAACTCAGAAGACAGGAAGTATAGCCGGGCACTGTTTTCTAACTCAAGCTGGGTCATTAAAAATGTTACATGTTCTTAACACATTAACTATGAGAATATGGGAGGAAAGGTGTACCCTGTCTAAGAGTATGTCACTGCAGACAGGTTTGAATATAGCAAAAGTAGAAAGAATCAGTCAGGGTCTTTTGTTTCTACATTTTGATTAGTCTTTGCTACCTTAATATGAATTGACTGAGATGATGATTAGAAGTTACAAAAATTTAGAAGCTTTAAAATACAATAAATGATTAACTAAGAAAAAATTAATAGCTTCTGAAAACACGGTCTCATTATTTAAAAAAAAAAAAAAGTTTAATTTTCCAAGAATGAGGGTGGGGTGGTAGATTTTACTCTAAGATTCAAACAATTTTAGCCAGAAAACAAGTTCTATCTATCTCCCTTAAGAAGATATATGGCTGGGTCTGATAAAGGTAAATTAAATAATCTCATTATAGAATTCTTTGAGCAGATGTTGTCTTCATGTCCATCTACAATGAAACCCTTAACTACAGATTTTAAGAGGGCAAAATATGAAGGCCTCACAGAAAGAAACAGCAAAGATCATCATCTTCAACTGCTGCATCTCTCAGCTGCAGCAACTGATGCCCCAACAGAGAGAAAATGTGAGATAACACTAATCCATGCACATGCCACCAAAGGCAAGGCCACGTAGGCACTTTGATCGGTCATGAGCCCTGAAACACCCTTATTTAAACCATGTTTAATTAACCATTAAACCATGCCTCTACTCTACTCTTCTTTCTGTCCTACACAAGAATGACATTTGAAAGTTTTCAAGAGACATTTTTTAACTTTTCTTCAACACCTACCTCTGCATGGTAGTAAATAAGGGTCTCTAACTTACTAAGAAGCTGTCTCTAAGGATGAAGAAATCCTAGAAGAGAAAGCCAAGTTCCAAATTGAAAAGTAGTACTTTTCTGAAGAGTATTGCATTTTCTGATAAACACTACTACTAGCCTCCAAAGAGTGTATTTACACACAGCATACATGTGTAAGAGGAGCTAGAAAGTGCTCTGCATGCTGGCCAGTACTCACTAGCAGAGCTTCTTCAGATATGCAAGCCTCAGTCTCTTCCATGAAGATGATTAACATTTGCAAGGTTTTCCTGTTGAACTCACAACTCAGCTAGAATGTCTTACATTCCTTGAGGAAGAGTTGCTGCTGGCTACGACAGTGCTATGATAAACTACTTGAGGGTACTTTGCAGAGTGACTTCTTTGCTACCACAGTAACTTCAATAATTTTGGAACTATAAAAATAATCTTGTGGTGGGAGCGTTTAAGACAGAATTTCTCTATGTAACAGCCCTGAATGTCCTGGAACTGGCTTTGTAGCCCAGACTGGCCTCAAACTCACAGAGATCCGCCTGTGTCTGCCTGTGTTCTAAAAACAAAAGCAAGTCTACCATAGATAATCAGCCACTGCAGTATGACCTGAAATGTTTCTGTTCAAATCATACACTGTAAACTCTGAAATGCCAGCTCTTCTAGCATAATGACGCCTACACCTACCGAATAATAGTAAAGTCTCAGTTGAGAGAAGATAAAATTGGCAGCTTTTCCAAAGACAATTTTCCAAATACAGAAGTCAAGTTTCCTAGCCCAATTGATATTCTGATTTGGTTCACTTTGTGCTGGCTGCCTAAGATAAGTGAATGGAATCCATTTCTCCCTGAGAAGGTAAAGGAGTGCTACAGAGGTTACTGCAGAAGTGTTAAGCCTATCCCTCATATTTCATGTTTATTTCTTGAGCAAGAATTATACTCAGGCTTGTTTGTTTTTAAAAGAAACATTTAACCCTAAAAAACTAGTAAGTTCCTAAGAGCCAAAGATACCAAGTGATATAGTCTAAAATTCACTGGTGAGGAAATACACAAGCATACAGTAAATACACACATGTGCACACAAAGACAGAGGCAGAGGCGCACACACACACACACACACACACACACACACACACACAAAGCAAACAAAGCAAAAATTAAAAGGGAAACAAAAGGATAGGAAAAATAAGAAACACATAAAACTGGAGCCAGAAGTAAAGGAAGAGTTTTAAGAGGACAGAGAAGGGAAGCATCAAAGAGAAAAATTTCCCCTTTATCAGAATATATTTCCCAGACATTATACAAAATGACATATAATCCCTAAGTAAGAATGTGAAAATTCTGAGTTGTGATTGACTGCCACTTGTATGAGAAGTCTTCTTAGAGGAATTTGCCCTTCTGTGCTGGTGGCAACTGAGTCAGGGGTTAAAAAAGATTTTTGGTGAAGTTTAGATGCAAACATTATGTAACCAAGGGCTTTGCAGTACATTAATGATAGTGCATGTTGCTGCTGTTGTATCCCATCTTTTAAGTAGTTAACAGGTGAAAATAAGCCGACTTTTAAAGCACAACTAGAAGTAGTGATACTGCTCTTTACACAGTGTGTCCAGACAAGCTCAGCCCTCATGGAAGCCACCGTACATCATAAATACATACGCTCTCAAACAAGTGCTATAAGAAAACAATCGCTAATAAAATGTTTATAACTTAGTCAACAATGACAGCTGCATTCAACAGAAAGTCAGATGAAATGCTGGAGAACCCTAAACCAGGCAGGTGAGGTATCTGCCATAAAACTCAAACTCCAATTTTTAGGTTAACAGTTTAACGAATGAATGGTCTCTCAAACCTGTTGATTTGGAATAATTTTAGGCTAATGTTTTAGTTCTTTATATTTAACATCAATTAAATATACTGTATAAGCAAAAGAACAAATTTCTTAGTATCAGAAACAAATCCATTTAAGCAAAAAACTCAATCACCAGTAAGTCCATAAACTGGCCTCACTTTGTATTAAAAAGACAACTGTTACAACTACTGCTCTAAAGGTAAGATCTCCAGAATGAGACTACCTTCCTACTGTTGCTAGCTCCTGCCAGCCAAAACAGTCATGTATTTTAGATGGTCTTCAAAACGAAAAAACAAACAAACCCAAAACCCTAGTAAATAATGTGGCTATGTTTACTTTATTGTCCACACAATGCTTTTTTATGTATAACAACATAGGCATCTCCAAAGACCTTAAGATAGCCAGCCATGCCCATGAAGGCAAATGGTGTCATTATTCTCATTTCACAGATGATAGAGGTCCAGAGATGCTGAACTCTTCAAAGTTGACAGTGTGCAGCAGGCACCACTGGCACCCAGATCTCATAGTTCAACAGAATTCTTTCCACTACAACCCAAGACCTTTGACTTCATAAGCCCTGATATGTAAAACATTTTAGATGAGACGGCCACCATTATAGCTTATTTCTTTATGGAAACCAGAATACTGGTAACAGATAAACCCTACCAAAATAAACAGTCAGATGTCTAGCTCCTATCAAGTAATCAATTTTGTAGCATTAAATGAACTCAAAGTTTTTAAGAACCTTAAGTATGGGCAACATGAAAGATACCTCTAACAAAGCAAAAAGGCCAACAGTATTCAGGTTATAAAATAAAAACATGGTGGCACACGCCTTTAATCCCAGTACTTGGGAGGTAGAGGCAAGAGGATCTCTGTGAATTCCAGGCCAGTCTGGTCTACACAGTTCCAGGACAGCCAGGGCTACCCAGAGAAACCCTGCCTCAAAAACACCAAATAAGTAAATAAATAAGTAAATACAACAAGTCTCCCTTCTTATTATTATCAAAACAGTACAGAAGAGTCAAATGGGAACATCATATACAACCCTTAGAAAATGCCATCTTGGACGAGAAATCTATCATCCCTATAGTTGTTTGCAAGAGACCATTTCTGTATATGTTAGACATAAGAACTCACAAAATAATTTGATAAAAAGTACAAACCACTGCTTTATATTGATAACCTTCCCAGAAGTGACTAATTTGACTAAGGAAGCTGAGTATAAACCAGTTTTTAAAAAGAAAAACTGGAAAGCAACTAAAAGAGAGAAAATAAGTAACCTTAATTGTTAAACTACCGTTAGGGAACTTAATTACAATTCCAGTAACAACAAAAAAAAAAAAAAAAAAAAAAAAAAAAAAAAACATTGGATGATTCTTCTTCCTAAGCTTCCTTTCTGGTTTCACCTTTAAATACACCAACTGCAATAGGAAAATCATTAGGGAAAGTGACTAACTGCACAAACCTGCTTACATTAAAAAAGGATTTATAACAACTAACATTCAAGTAAAAACAAAAACAAAAAAAACCAGCTGATTATGCCAAATTATTTTTAAAGAGAAAACTTACCCAAAATATGCCTGCAAACTGCAAATGGTGACTTGGATTTCCTAAATGATAGGAATATGTGCTCTGCATGCTGGCGTTGTTCATTACTGACCATGGAAGGTGGTGCCTTTAGATAAAAAAACAAAGACAGAGCAACCGAATGAGAAAGCATGTACAACACCAATCCTTTCACCCACTGTGGAGAAAAACCTTTTACTTTGAGAGGGAGAAAGGGAAATTTTTTTTTTGCTTAAGTTTTTAAGGAATTACAGTACAGAACTTCAAAACAAACATATAAAATACAGTTTCAGGAAGAAACAAGCTTTGCCTCCAAAATGTTTAAAGCTGCTTACAACCTAGAAAAGGAGTTACTTAGCTATATCATTTTATAAAAAGATAGGTAACCTCATCAGCCTTTGCTTCAAAAATCTACTACTCAGCCAAATTGAATGAACTTTCAATGCTAAAACTCTTCAGTACTGAGAAAACTGAACCCAAGTTACTAAAAATCTGCAAATGTCGAAAGTCTGGAATTCATAGAATACTGTATATAAATACTCTGAATACTAAATCCAATCAGTCAAAAACAAGATATCTACTTTACCAAAACAACTCCAAAAGTCTGTCCAGATTTTTTAATTTCCTTTTGGTGCAATAACCTGTCTTCCACAACTGTTTCTCTGCTGAATCAGACTTAGCTAAAATGCATATTCCCATCATGTGGTTGAATTATCCTCTGATATAAGTAAGACCTGAAGGGGAGGGGAAGAGATTGGAAATAACAGTTTCTTGTTCTACAATCTACCCGGATTATTTAATGCCTATCATGCCTTTCATTAAATCAGGTAGATTTAAGTTTGAAGCCAGACTGGTCTATAGTGCAAGCTCCAGGCCAACCAAGGACACATATTGATATAGTGAGACAATATCTCGGAAAAAAGAAAAGAAAAACAGAGATCTTAATTTTAGCAATACCAAATAATCTTAAAGATGAAAACACATCTTTCAAATAAGCCATGTAACATATCAGTCTCTCTAAACATTATGACACTCTCGCTCTGTGAATTCCTGTAGCTAGTGAAAGTCAGTGCACATTATTCCTAAGGTTACAGCACCCTCTACAGTTCTTGAGGGGGGAAAAAATCATTCTATTACAGAACTTGAGTTTAATTACGTTTTAGTAACAAAATACTGGAACAGCTAGCTACATTAGAAGTTTTTGTCCTTTCATCTGCAAACTCCTTATTCTCCCCAGGAGAACAGATTTAGTTGTGTTTTTCAAAGTTTCCATCATTAAAACTGCATATTAGTAAACACCACCCACTCACAGAGCTGTGTACACAAATCAGCACTGGGTTACCTAGGCAATATCTGGATAATTTTTCCTCTCATGGATATTACACACACAATAAAATCACCAGGTCAACATATGTCACAGGACAGAATATACTTTAGGTCTCTAAATCCAGAACTATGAGTTCTTTCTTGAAAGAAAGATGTTGTTCTGTGTGCTTGTGGTCCCAGGTACTTGCCAGGCTGTGGCAGAAAGATTACTTGAGCACAAGAGTTCAAGAACAGCCTGGTGATGGAAGGATACATAGACTCAACAATTGTAAAAAGTGCTTAAAAATGATTTAGCAACAATTTCCAAATAGCAAATTATCTCATCAGTAAATTCCAAGAAGCCTGTGGAGATGGCTCCATGAGTAAGAGACTTTTGCAAGCACGAGAACCTGAGTTCAAATCCCCAGCATCCACGTAAAAATTAGGCATGGCTATGTATACTATAACTTCAGTCTGGGGATGGGTAAAGAATGAGAGACAGGTCCTAGGAGCTCCCCAATCAGCCAGTCTAGCTGAACCAGTGAGCTTCAAATTCAGTATCTCAGAGTAACAAGGCAGAGAGCAATAGAAGACACCAGTTCAGACATAGGGATGTTTTACATGGCCTATAAAGCTCAGTAAAGAATGGAAACAAGGAAGCCTTTGGCAGCTATTATCTTTTTCTCATCAACAACAGCAAAATCCCACACTTCACAATTGGAAGCAATAGGAGACAGCAATAGAGACGATAGGCAGGAGACCAATCTCAGATCCTCAGTAAAATAAAGGCCTGGATGGAAGAGAACTGAATGTGTTCATATGAATCCAGGCCACCACAAGACAGAAAGCTCACAAAACCCAATACAAAAAGACTGATGTTTGTGTCTCAACTTCACCATCCTACCAGCACAGACAAGCAGTTACCTGTTTACAAAATTGGTAAACAGTAACAGTGACTCGAAGCCAGAAGAATCCAAAACTGGAATTATAGAGATTATTTACTGATGAAGGGGTTAAATGACATGCTGTGTTTTTTGATTTTTTAGTATGCTGAATATATATGGGGGTTCAAAGCTTCTATTCAAAATGCATTTGACAAGGGCTATATGTTTAGCACCATGCCAGAGCTAGTAATATACTTACATGATTCTACAAGACAAAACAGGAATTAACCAATCACAGAGTTCATAAACCCTGCATCCATCAGTTCATTCTAATGGGTACTACTACCATGCTGCTAAGCCTTTCTTCAGTTTACCAATGCCCATTCTACAGACCATCAGCTCTTTCTCTAGGAAGCAATGAGTGTTCTAAACTGTCAGAAATAGTCATAAAGTTATAATTATTATAAAATTGTCAGGTAGAATGCTAAATATTAGCTCATTAATTCCAGGGATATCCTTGTAGGAATTATTTCTCCTCTTTTAAATGGAGAAACCAAGATTCAGAAATTGTTAAACCCCAAAGACAGCCAAGTCAGTAAGAATCATAACCAGAATGTGACCTCAAGTACACATGACATTAGGGGTTATTCTAGGGGTAAATAGTGAGGAGTCCTGCCTCTCAGATAGCTAGCAGAAAAGGTTAACTAATATTCTTGGCTTACTATACATATCATTACTTATATAGGTCATGAAAGACAGAACAATAAAGTCAGACTGAATAATCAGGTACTATTGTAGACAGAAAACCACACTATGAGAATCGAGGCCAGTCTGGTCTCCAGAGCAACTGCCAGGATAGGCTCCAAAGCTATACAGAGAAACCCTGTCTCGAAAAAACCAAAAACAAAACAAAACAAAAAAAAAACAAAACAAAAAAAAACAAAACAAAACAAAAAAAAGGCTTCATGTTCTAATTACAAACTGACAGATATGCCACCCAAACACACAAATATTAGTAGCTTTTGACTCAATCAGTGAGGATTTTAATAAGAATTCAGTTTTCCCTTTATATTTTCTTGAACCTTTGAATCTTACAGCTGTTCTTAACTAAACTTCAAACTACTCATATAGGACAATACATTTTGATACTTTACATTTATATTATCCCAGAACCCAAGAATCAGAGGCAGATGACTCTTTTTGAGTTCTAGGCCAGCCTGGTCTACATAGAGAGATCTCCCAGCACTAGGGAGCAGAGGAAAGCAGATCTTTATGTGTTCGAGGCCAGTCTAATAGTGAGCCTCTCTCTCAAAAACACAACAACAAAAAAACCCAACAAAACCCAAATAATTAAATAAATGCACTTATCCATGTTTCATAGTGCTCTTCAAGAAGTCCTCAAAAAACAAAAGTTCTCCAGATGGCCCTTCAAGCTCCTTAGTACGTATTCCAAAGTTGTCCTACCAACTATGTCTCCCTCTCAGACCGCTCTTCTCAGACAGACTTTCTCCCAGAAACAATCTTATTCTTACTTTCAAGGTTTAAAAACTAAAGTAACTATATATAACAAGTTTGGCAATTCATGAGACGGTATCTAAAAGCCTCCCAAGATGCTGAACTCTCCATGTGTCCACCCAGCTCCCTTCATCATCTACTACCTTCTCCAATTCAACCGGGCAGTGGTGGCGCATGCCTTTAGTCCCAGCACTCAGGAGGCAGAGGGCAGGCAGATCTCTGTGAGTTCGAGACCAGCCTGGTCTCCAGAGCGAGTGTCGGGATAGGCTCCAAAGCTACACAGAGAAATCCTGTCTCGACCCCACCCCCCAAAAAATGGAAACTCTCACAAAAGAGTGCATAACAAAAACTAATACTCTGTCATATTTTAAAGTTGTTTTTTTAAAAAGAATCAGTGCAATAGCAATGGGTAAAGGTTCTTTTTTTTTTTAAAGATTTTATTTTTTTTTAAAGAATAGATTTCCTCAGAGTTATACATATATTTGACCTTATTTTTAAGATTTTATTTATTATGTATACAACATTCTGCCTCCATCTATATCTGAACACCAGAAGTCATAAAGGATGGTTGTGAGCCACCATGTGGTTGCTGGGAATTGAACTCAGAACTTCTGGAAGAACAGTTGGCGCTCTTAACCTCTGAGCCAACTCTCCAGCACCTGGGTAAAGGTTCTTTTCACCAAGTCTGACAACCTGAGTTTGAGTCCCCAGGACCCACATGATGGAAGGATAATCTACTCCAGCAAGCTATCCTCTGACCTCCACGTGCACTCCCTAGTACGTCCACACACATAAACACACTAAATAAGTCGTTACGATTTTCAATAAAATTTTAACAAGATGACACCTATGTCCTCCATATCTGAGCATTTTCTTCCACCACAAGTATAGTGATATATATTATGATTTACTAAAGCTTGACTGAGGATTCAGAAAAGCAAAGTCAGCCTCAAGCTATAGAGATCTGGCAGCGGTGATACATACCTTTAATCCTAGGACTGAGGATTAGAATGGTAGATGGATCTCTGTGAGTCCAAGGCCACCCAGATCTACACAAGAGTGAATCAGTCTAAAAGGGAATTATAGTTCACATCTTTAATCCCAGCACTAGAAGGGTATAAAAGACAGGAGCAAGTAGTCAGAAGGCAGCATTCATTCTCCAGCCACACTGAGGTGAGGCTACAGTCTGAGGCTTGGTGAGAGCTCATGGAGACAGGATCAGCCCATTCAGCTTCAGCTTGAGGTAAGAGCTAGTGGCCGGCTGCTTTGCTTCCCTCATCTTCAGTTTGAACCTTTTTCAGTCTCTGGGTCCTTTTATTTTTCATGTTACACACAAGACAATCCTAACTTTAGTTATTGAACCATGCACTCCGGATAAGTTATATTTCCGATAAGTTATATTTCTCTTCAC